TTCAGCAACAGCAAGCATGGGTCCAAAGCACTTGTGGTATTGCAATACAGTAGTATGTACGAAAATAATGGTCAAATAGATGAAATTTGATAATATGGAGTCATAGTACTTGTAGACAACTTAAATATCTCGGCTTCAAAATATGCATGTGAGTTGGGAGAATGAAGTGGAAAGCTGCACATAAGGGTATATTGCCAGTTATTGAAGGCGCGCGGGGTTACTGGAGGCGACTCAGTGAGAAGTTGAGAAACCTGGGCTCTTTAAATTACTCTCGTCGTTCGAAGGGAGCATCAATGAAGTACGTAACGCGCGACGTCAACTCGCCATCAAAAGGACGACTACCAGTCAGCCAGTGATCTTTCATACCTAAGTGGTCGTTAGCCCTCTTGAATGCTTTTCTGAATGCATCCTTCAGTCGCTATCGGTCCTAACTGTAATAGACATTCCAAATGTTGGTGAATTCTGTTTTGGAATGTATGCTAGGTAGAAGGCTTTCAACGGAGGATGTCATAGATTATTAAGCCGAAGGTTACCACTGTCCTAATATGCATTCCGTAATAAGTTAAACGTGAGGTTTTTCGTTTAAAAATGGAGCTACGAGCAAGCTATCCTAGGTACTCGTTATGTTTCCACCTGACGTGGACAGATAAAGAATCTACGGTACGGGGTTTTGTGTAAATAGCTATTTCCGAAATTCATTCGATTTCTTCCATTCCGATCGTGCGGTCCAGAAGTCACAATGGCGCCGCTGGTGCGGCCGGCGAGTAGCTGTTTTTTGTGGGTCGGGCAGGTCTCCATTATGGTGGTCTGCGAAAGATTTTTTGGTAAGTTACTCCCCTGCGTGCATATTGGTAGGACATACATCTCGCCAGCATTGCATTCAAGTCGATTTCGTCTTCGGAGGCCTATAGGTTTGGGTTATCGGGCGATTGGGTCGCTGAACGGGGACGGCACGTGCCCCATAGACCACGTATCCTCATCCAGTCGTATCCGTTTGCGCTACGGATTACGAGGTCTTTTCAGCAGATATTCATTCAAACACAGCCTCATGTTTCGAATAAGAAAGTTGACGAGCATGAAGACATAGTTACCAGGCTCATTGAGATTATAGACGTACGAAGCTGTATGATATTGAAATTCGCATCTCAAATTAAGAACAGTGTGGCGCAGAGGAGATGGGACGAATTATGTACACGTAATACAATTATCTTACACCTGACAGAAAAATGGGTCGACAAAGCGTCCAAACACAGAGATGAGTTAGTTGAGAAGAAGGTCCTGATCAGTTCGATCGCCAATAAGCTCCTAAGGCACCTCCATCGCATAGGTAAAGAGGAAGAGGCCTGGAGACTTAGATCTACCATCTGTCTTTTGTTGAGTTAAAGAATAAATTATAGGCCACAACGTCGATCAGCCTTGCGACCACATTGCGTAAGTTGCACCATGTGCTCCAAATTGTCTGGGACCAGCCGAAAAATTATTGGACCAGAAAACGATTGCAGGAGGACGTAGGCAGCCCGATCTGCACTCGATTTGCAAAATAGAACGATCAAATCACGAAGTGATTGTCCGCTGCCCCGTTCTACATTCGCTGCCGGTCAATTTCAACCCATTTCTCGTATGAACTGCTCACCATGCCATGTGTCCGTAAATTGACACGCGTAACCGAACTAGCCAAGTTCCACTGCATGCCTACGAAGGCATTTAACCGCATATTATATGTACTAGGGAAACATGGACATGTGTGAACGTATTTGACTCCAAATTAAGTGTCAGCGACGACTCTATTTTTAAGAAAGACCATCTGTTCATCCTTTTTTGGATTCTATGTCCGTCCTGTTATCCTTCATGTAGATTCCACCTCGTCCGATCCCTTAGAAATCACCCAACACATAGACGCTTCCAGGGTTTGTGCTGCCATTTGCCCGACCGTGTTTAAATTTGTCTACCATGGCCCAGATGCACAAACTACATTACAAAGTTAGGAGCTTAGAGATGGAAATGGGTAGTTGTCATGCTAACATAAGCCCCGGGCTAAATTCCACCTTACCTACTACTTTTCTATTTCTCTTTTCAGTCCCAGTACGTCAATTGTAAGATGAATAAAGCCCTGTTATAGGGTATTCTCGTTCTGACTCTTACAGCCATATTCGTTCGTCCTCTCCATCTCGTGTGCTTGCTACGGTCCTAACTACTACAGTAGTGTCTGACGAAACCAACTAGCCCGTCTACACATACTGCATACAACCTGGCCCTTAATTTTTACACGAACCACAAATGCCCGCACTTTAGTTCTTCGAAATAAGGGCAACAGGAAAATCGAGAATGATGTTGGTGATACAAATTGCATGCATCCTTTCAGCCGACGTATCATTCCTCTGCAGATTATGTCGTCCTTCATGGAGTTTCAGTACCAAATCACATTCAGCGACTCACCGCGACCGCGGGGAATCACCACTGAGGACTGTGAGTGGAACCCTGAACCCCGTAAATGGGTTACGCCTTAGCGCTAAGCCGAACCAGCGTCACACGAGCGCGTGGCACATACCAGACGGATGTTTTACTCCACGTCAGCCCGGCAGGAGCATGATATTTTATATGATGGGATAGGCAAGAGGGAGTGAGGTCGGTTCAGGACATGCAGTAGATATGCCAACTCATGAAATGTTGACCGAACTGTGTTTTCACTTCCAAAACGTTTCTTAGGCGGAATCGTAGTATTAATCGTTATGTTGCATAATGTTAGGATGTTTCAGTCACGTTCGGATGTCGGCTTTTGGACGAGCTCTCTTCCGGCCGTCTGCAAAAACCATATTCCGTAAAAAATGGCCACTTATGTCGCACGAATTTTTCCCATTTATTTTTGATATCCTTACAAATTCCAGTATATTTTATAGGCAACATGCGCAGAGATGTTCGTTCTTTACCCATTTGGTAGCGAATTACACCCTCGCCAAATTTCCTTAAGGTTTTATTATTGAAGAAAAAGCATCTTTCGGTTTTTAAAGAAATTTTGTCAACTTTCGAATAATTTTGAATCCAGCCTGCCGTTAAACTAGCATAAAGGGTTCCAGATCCTCAATCTGCATACTTTTCGTGCAGGGAAGATCACACATTTCTGTATGATATTATGAAGAGGGCGTATAGGGCTCATAAAATTTTGTAAGGCATATAGACCAAGTTGTCCATATTATAAATGGAATTAATAAATGTGCTGAGACAATGTTATACGGCTGGAAATTTCACGATCTTGAAAAGTGTCATAATTGGAAACCTTTAAAACCGAAAGAGGTTTTTTAAGTATAAAGTCTACATAAATTGTTATTTGCTACCAAATGAGTAAAAAAGAATGTTTTCGTGCATGTTTTCGCTAAAATATATTTGCATTTGTGAGGACACGGAAAATTAACCGGAAAATTCGTATTACTTAAGTAGCCATTTTCGCGGAATTCGGTTCGCGGAAGCGGTCAGCAAAGAGCTCGTGGCATCCTGGCGTGACAGGAATATCTTGGGATCATGTGGCAGGATAATTATAATTACAACCTTACTTAAATATTTTTGGAATTGAAAACGCATTTCAGAATGTCGGTTGACATTTTACGAAATAGCACATCTACTCTAGTTCCCATACAGTAATAAATCCAACACGCTAACAATTGTAGCTCGCCAGGCTGTCAGCTGTTTGTACTCCTCCGAATCGAATGTTAGGCTGCCACGACCTTTTAGTGCGTTCTTTTTGACTACTTCTTCCTGTGCGAAGTGCGAAATCTCATTAATTTGAAGTTTGTTTTCTCCGCGTCCGTATACCAACGTTTGAGTGACATGCGTAGACGTGAATTTAACCCCGTCAGCCATTCCGCAAACACCAATCCCCAACCGTCTTGGCTGTCTGGTCATTAAACTATGCGGGATTTGAGGGAGGTAGACAATGAGAACGTCCCTTTCGCCTTAAGCCAGCTCACACCAAGTAACTATGGAGACAGTGGTGGTCCACGTCGACTGTGATGGACTAAATTTTGGGTCCGAGAAAAGTTAGCCAGTGTTCGTGTTAGCAACTGAACTGACCTCTGTAATTTACCGGTGAGAAAGGTACGGAATCTTGACGCAAGTGTAGTCGTTCTAGCGTTTGTGAGCTTTGAAACAAAAACTGCGTCGTCTGGCAAGTATGCTTGGACATCAATGGGAGTGGTACGCAGTGAGTAACCTCAAGCTAACTCATTATTACCCGTTGTGACTACTTGCAATGGGTTCAGCCCCCTGGAGAGTTTTGGAATCCGGCGGCAAGTCGTCTATCGCCGTCATTATATATGGACGTCTTTTCGAACATCCTTGTGCTGTTTTAGACTTATAAATTGCTCTTATTTGCAACCGCTTGTCAAAAATAACTTGAAGAGACTGCAAACACATTCCAGCAGGCGGTTCACCTGCAGTGCCTGCCTACGAACTCACTTGATTCCCATTCGTCTAACAGAATTTTGACGGCAATGAGGATGGAGTAAAGTCTTATTGCAGGTTTTCCGTAATTTTTTCGTCATGCATTTTTTGACGGCCCTTTATGGAGATTGAGAGTTCTCTCCGTTTATCTGTCTTCATTTCAAGTGCTTTACATTAAAGCTCGCCGTAAAACTAAGGATACATGTCACTCAAGACATAATTTTGCTTGCTCCAACGCCAAACATAAGTAAAACGGCAGCAATTACAGTGCAGTCAATTAGGACTCGCATTCACCGATCTATACTGATCGCAAGACGGGAATAGGCATTTCCGTCCTACCGTGTAGCCGAGGCTCTGCAATCTACGCATTAGACCACATGGTGACCAACAATAGGTCAGAATCGGTCTTCCCATTGTCCCTGCCTCTTTTGGTGAAGAGCCTCAATTATTAGATGTTCCACCTCTTCACTTAGTTCTGTCTGGTCCTCTCCTGTCCTTTCACTGACGCCTGAAACACTTTACTTTTATTTTTCGTAATTCTTCTTTCCAATAGACACGTGTGAAGTATGAATGCAAATGAACGACAGCAACAAGAAAGCGTTCGAATACTATATACTTCGGCATCTAAATTGAAACAGAAATTGCAGGATCTCCTCATAACCTTGCAAACACAGGTAGCAATCTAATTACCTCCACATTTTGCTGAAGCGCGAAACTTGCGACTGGCCAAAATACTTGAACACACTTGGACTGTGTGCTTCCGAATTGGTGGAAATACGCAAAGTCTTGGAGTCTGAGCGTTTTTCGCTGGCTCAGTCACTCGTCCTCACACCTGTTCGACTGAATCCTGAACCAGACCCAGCTCTTGCAAAGGTGACAGATGAGCGCTTACCACGTTTCGACCATGATACCGCTCCACAATACTTGAGAACAAAATTGGCTCCCCAGGTATTTATTAAATTATTTACTTTTTGTCTTTATATCTTCGTTCTACATACAGATATATTTTTGTAGCTAAAAGCTCAGAGCTAGGTATTATCTGCTTCTCCCATACCCCTAATGGCGTTTACCCTCTTGGCGTCTGCAGTGTTCAGTGGATTCCCTCTTCAGTGTGAGGTGATACCTACGGGAGCTTGGCAGAACCCAGTTTCCTGAAGGATATACAGCTGACGTCACCATCAAGCTGCCTAAATATCCGTTGATCAGGACAGTGTTCCGAAGACGTGCACATCTAATGTCCGATGGCTCCAGACTTTTCACTGCCGCATTCAGAGTCACCATCAACACAATTAGCACGTCCATTCTCCAGCAGGTCCTTGACACAGCTATTGGTTTACATTGGTCTTAGTCTCGACAAACCCAAAAGCCGTCTTCGGCCCAGTAACATACGGTCTTATTTAGACGCCATTGCCAGAATCCGGTGTTGCGCGGGTTGTAAGACCGTTTTAGACAACAATGAATAAATTTTTAGCGAAAATTACTTCTTAAGTTAGCGGATCTTAAAAAACCCACTTCGTGTTAGAAAAAACTGTCCAACAACCCGTCACTCCTTCATCATTTCTACCATCAGTGATTCTTCACCGTTTCTTAACATGTCTTCGCGGTTTTCTCTCGCATCCATCTGCCTGCCCTCTAAATATTCTTGTGCGATCGATGCTGTGGTAGCTGGTGCCACAAAATAGATGGCTATGTTAACGATGACTTTGATCCAACCCATGAATAGGTCTCCGCCTGACATGAAAACGAGGAAGAGATGTTGTCATTTGACCCAAATTTGGAAACCTCGACAGCCTCGGTGGAATCCGAACCCACGACAGGAAGGATAAGGCTTACTCCAGCCACCTGAGCTACGAAGTCCCACCGGGAGACGTGAGTTTATTCGCATTTGGCTCACGTTACCGACCCAGCTTACTGCAGCGCATGCGATCCACCAAATCTAATACAGTAAATGACTCTCCAAGCAGGATTTCCGAGCAATCAGTCTAGAATCCACCAGATGACTACCCGACTCAATTCATTTGTCCCTCTGGGTTCGAATCTCACCGAGGCCGCTGAGCTTTTTACAATTGAGTCAAATGGGTTATTCGAATCTGCCAAAAACACCTACTAATTAAGTGAACCTAGCAGTCCTCTGGTGGATTATAGATGGATTGTTTGGAAAATCCTGCCTGGGCAAGCAGCTTACTGTATCAGAATTGATGGATTGCATGCGTTGCAGTAAGCTGGGCGGGTAACTTGACGCAAAGGCGACTAAACTCACGGCTTCCGGTGGGGCCTCGTAGCTCAGGTGGCTAGAGCTGGCTGTACTCAAGCCTTTCCGTTGCTGTCGTGGGTTCGAATCCCACCCAGGCTGCTGAGTTTTTCCTGATAGGACCAAATTAATTATTCAAATCTGCCAGAAACCCGAGTTCGCAAAAAATTGTTAATTTGACATTCTGAACGTTCACCCTCGGATATAAAATCGACTTCTTTTTCATAATGACGACTGTAACTTGTCATGGCACCCGCGACTCTCCTATGGAGAGAGGAAACGGCTGCTGGGGGATGATTCCTATTGAAGAAGGAGACACGATCGCCGGGACAAGTGTCTCCTTCTTCAAGACTACTTCCTGGGACTCGGCTCTTCGCTTCTATTGGCGATGATTCCTATATCATCCAGGCCTGCCGGAAATGGTCGGTAGTCGTCAGTCCCCCAGGATTGTCGTCATCCGGCTTGCGGGCTGTTTCTTGGCATCTTCGGCGTCGGTATTGTCGCTTTCGTTCGCACTTTACCCTCACAGCTACTCCCAACTTCCCTGTTTAACTGCAGCTCGAGTCCCCTCCAATTCTTGAGTAAGGCCCCTTTTTAACTTCGCAGGTGGAGTCTCAACGCATGGCCCAAAATGCCAAAGCTTCTGCGATTCCTCCGGAGCAGGCAACAAAGTTGGTCAATTTGTCCAATAGGTTGCTTGACTCCGGACTGAAAGAAGTTAACGCCCTAAAACAGGAGCTGGAGACGGACTTAAGTGAAAAGACCTTCAAGTCATCCGTCAATCCGGACGATCTTTTCACATTAGTCGCTGCTATTACAACTGGAGCAAACTTTGGCGGAAAGCCTGCCCCTCAGGACACCTGTAAATGACAGTTTCTACCACCTCCCCGAAGTATCGAAATTCTGTACACATGCTTTTGGCGATCTTTTTTTAAAATGACGTCCCACAATCGTCAAAATTCTAAACCCTCTGTGACTGTTTAACTGAATTCAACCAAATCTGCTTTAGTTCTCGCCCACGTTGCTCCCACTCAGGCATGGCAATCTTGAGGAATTCTAAAGGAAGGCATACGGCAATCAGGGTAGATCGTCCTAAATGAGCTCGTGAAGTAAGACATTTTCTCGGCCTCTTTCTCAGGTGCCTAGCCTACGGCTTGGATCGTGCTTTAGTTTGGAGTCAACTCTGGTCTACTGAGTGCAATGCAGGAGGCACCATTTAGGCATTCCCAAGGCGACCTAACCGAAGAGGTTTACGTCGACTGTCTAAAATGTAGTTGTTTTCGAAAAATGCGGTAGTCGATCTTCCTATTAACGAATTAATTACGACTACCCTATGGAACGGCAGTTAATTATTGCGATTTTTCGAGTTAATTTATAAAAACGAAACAATAAACAAAAAGATGGCACATCAATTAATGATTTACAGCACGCTACTGTTTGACGGGGGCATCCGGGAACTGACTGCAGGCACTTATACCCAAATTCAGCTGCAAAACGGCCTGACAGGTACGCCTCCAAGACACCTGCAGACTGTTTGATAGACCCACCGGGATAGTTTACGATGACCGAGATCGCTGAATCGGTCCAGGTGGCTCCTCTAACGACTACCTAAGTGGCTTCTTTGAACTTGATTTTCGAAGCAACGTGAACAATCGCCCAGCCTCGCTAATCGGAGTTGACTATCTCTTATCAGCACGAGCATCCAGCATCACCACAATCACTTTGCATCTCGCCGAGTTTATTGTATGTCAGTTCTTGGTCTGTAGCTGGTTGCATGACGGCAGGGTAATGCCGGTAGTAAATCTGGCCACACCACGTCCTCGTCCCCACATGGCTAAAAGTCCACCTCCCAGCCTTTCCAGAAAAGCATCGGGTCAGATTCCTTAGAAGTTAAAGTGGCCCAACACAATAAACAGGTTCAGGAAACGCGAGCCCGACCTTCTTAGCAATACGGTCGAAAGTAGTGTTAGATTCATGCACAGACGCCACACTAGCATGATCAGATGAAGACCGTAAGAATTATTTAGCGGGCTTTGAACACCGAAAGCACTCGGAAACTAAGAAGTTATCCATCAAACCAGTCCCCCCGCGTTGAATGGCATCACAATGCGAATGTTGGTCATGTCGCTGTCGACCCAGCAGAGGTCGAGCAGTCAGTCCTTCCCGTATGCCTCCACTACAATTATCTACGACTGTCTGATGATAGGCCTGAGTCCGAAACGTCGGGCCAATACGGTCCTTGTTACAGCGATAGCACCCTCTCTGAACTGCTTCCTGGATCCTCCTGTTCGCTTCAATCAGCGGTCCCCAGAGCGTGTGCCCCCCCCCCGACTCCCTAGTGGAATTAACGTGATCTTATTGGGCTCTGGATGCTTTACGAAGTCATTCCTCTGAAGTCTATCATGGCAGGATATGGGCTGCAGTACCCTACCCGCGGAGCAGTTGGGGCTGCTTTAATGGAGGGAAATAAATTATAAACGACCTTTATTTTGTCATAATAAATGTCACGCATGCCTTTCACTCAAGTTTATTAAACCGTACCAACCTAGTACATCGCTGAAGACGAGTCTGAATGCAAATTACCGGGGTAAACCGGTTAAATATGGAATAAAAGGGCGAGTTAAGTTTATGGTCGTGTGCTCATGTCATCGGACAACAATTTTTGCCGACATCTTGTCCGATATGGTATACTGGTCCCAATTCTTGGCCGGGTCATAGGGCTCCCAACGACTCGCGGGGAAGATATGTTTGTGACGCTCATACCAGCTGCGTAGACAGACCTTGCCGGCGTGCGACTCCTCCTTTTCTACCTTAGCGTCCATCCGTAGCCGAACATCGTCATACACGTCAAATGAGAAGAGAGGACCTGACTTGCCGCGCGCCTTGCTCACGATGAAATCGTAGAAGGTATAGTGATGAGGTATTATCAAGTCCTCCTTAATGTACATCATCTGGTCAGCGGTAGCGGACTTCAGTTCGGAGAAGTCTTTGCGCAGCTGGTCCAGACAACGGTGAAGGAAAAGATGAATAGAATGGCCCTTCTTCATTTTCACCTGCCTGCGATGACCCGAACCGTCCCAGTAGCTGTAGGTGATTGCGATTTCTTCCTCCTTAATGGCTGTCTGTTTCGCATGCCACTCTCTTCGCAGTTCATCCCTACACGATCAATAATACGGAACGTTTAGGTCCTATACATAAAATATACACATAAAATGTGATAAGTCACTTTGTCTTATACGCCAATATAGAAAGTCATCTTAACCAGTCTTATGAGGTCGGGGCCCACTCGATGCTGCTGTTTAAGAACCTCCCGTAATGCGCCTGATAAATGCGTCAGACTAATTTCAAAATCAAATGACATGAACAATTCCGGTTTTGCGGACGCCTGAGAATAGCTGTCCGAGCGACAGCCAGTCAGGCTGTCGAGGTTTCAAAACCAGTTACGCCACGGCTCTGGGACATTTATTACGTACAAAAAGGTAACCAATGACAAAAAATCTAATGCGCTTATTGGACGTGACGCATCCCAAGGCAAATGGAACCTGTACCTACGTACCCATAAACAAACAAAGAATGATGCGGACTGTCTCCAGTCGACATCTGCGAGCCCGTTAAATACTAGTGTCGGGCAGAAAATTCCCCTGGGTACCATCCGCATCCAGCAAGCCCGAAAAGCACGCGGTTTTGATTGTTCGACTGTCCAAAAACCCAGTTAAGCCGTTATTCGCAGGGGAGCGGGTTTCTTCTAATTGCTCAGTTCGAAGCCCGGCGCTGCCGTCGGTGAACCAGCTTAATGTTCCAATATTGTTCCGGAAAATGACAACTGAAGCTTTATTGGCTGACGGAGAACATTCCTCCTGTCGCAATTACCGCTGTGGCTTGTGAACTTTCTGTTTGCAAAACCGCTGCAGTCACGCCTGAAGTTACTACTTCTTCGTGGCTCTCGACTGCTTATTCGTTTACTTACGGCTATACGTCGCAGAATTTCGCTTCACTGTGCACCTGTGGTGGCGACAGGTGGCTCACGGCTAAGCCAACCTATAGGTGCCGTCTGTCGGTGATTTTTATCGTCCCCGCCTGACAAATGTACTTCTTACTGTGAAACGGGAGGTCTGCTCTACGTGCCCGAATGACAACCGGTCACCACGACGTCACACAGTCACGCGAGAGCATTATCTGATAGGTCAAATTTCAGTCCGCTCTTGGACATTTCTTTTCTGGCTTTATATACAGAGCTAGGGTACGTCGATACCCACTTTGATTTGCCCTTGCTGCTGAGTTCTGAATCGGAAATTTGAACAAGAAAATTTGTTAAACGGGAGATCAGTAAGGTGTGTGGCAAATTCCTAATAGAGGGAGTTAAAGAAGACAAAGGAAGCATAGGCATCAATACTTCTCATCTAGTGACTTAAAATAATCTTTTTAAATTAAAAACATTGTTGCAACGTTAAAAGCATTCCACTTGCCGTTCCTCGATAAGGGAAAATTAGGGTAGGAACTCTTCGTAGAAGTTTATTTTTAATTATTTTAAAGCTGTTCAAAAAATTCTGGCAGCAGTTAGGGAAAAATTCGCGATTTTCGCTGCAGACCTGCAAGGCACTTAACAGCAATGAATTAACTTAGTTATTCGTAGCTTAAGTGAGTACCGCAATGACCCAAGTATCCCTTAAAAGGAGGGACGACATCAATGTGAGGATGGGCAAGTCACTGCCATTAAAGTCCCTTCCAGATGCAAAAGTTGCACCACATACCAAGACAAACACAATGATTGCAAATAATCGAAAGAGAAACGATGACAAAACAAGCACATAGAGTAGGTGACGCAGATAATGAAAGACTGTGGCCAAAATATGAATGGCCAGACAGGAGAATGTGGGCTGTTTATATTTTCGCTTACCAAAATTACTTGAAGCATAAAAGGCCTTTTCTGGAAGAGAACAAGTCCGAAAGTCATTTTATTAAAGAAAAACAGGGCACTTAGTACGGGTCGACGTTGCCCTAGATCAGGGTAACTTTCCGCGCTGCCGAGTTTCGCAGGCTAAGGCCGCGTTTGGCGTGCGTTTTGCTGTGAAGAAGCATTAACATGAGCACTAAAAGTCTGCACTAACTCTCTTAACTAAGCGGAAATACGGACTTTGTGTCCGCGAAAATAAAGTAAGGCGAGGTGTGCAAAGTCGCATTTTTTGAGAAAAACCGGAAGTGGCCTCAGTCTCAAAAATTCCCATTGACAAATGGATGGCACTTTGCGCTATAAAATTCATTAAAAAATCCAATCGGCGATCGTTTGTTTTACCGCACGAAGAAATAGAAGGTGCAAACAAATACATAAGTGCCCGCGCCGCGTTGACATGTTTATCAAGCCGTGTAATAAATGTGTGGGCAGATACGGAAACTAGCAACCGGCTGGTGGCGAGTATTGGCGAAGTGGCCGCGCCTAAGAAAAAGCACGTCCCACAAGCACGACGACAAACTTATTCACCGGGCACTAAAAATTATATGCGCGTCGGTGTCTTTCCTGCGCATAATTATGAAAAGAGTGCAGTGGTTTAATCATCTAAAAGGGTTAAGGTATTATTTTTCAATAGGGGACAGGCTAGAGGTTGTTGATTTGCTAGGGAGTACATTGATCACGATGAGGTCTTGCTTATAGACAAGTCTACAAAGACGGCCCAGCAGGTCATAAGCGGAGGGAACTTCTCACAAGAGCACACTGTGAACCACAACTTTCAAAAAGAGCCAACAGTTGATAGCTTGGATGGTCATCTGACGGCCAACAACGGACGCTACCATTAGTAAGGTGTTCATCGACATCGTCAAGGGTGCTTTCGGCTACAACACCGAATGGCCGCTTTAATTCTGCAAGATAACGTTCCCGTTCACTGCTCAAAAAAGGTACGACCCCAATAACGCCTACGACCAAAATATAAATTTACAGAAAACAGTCATCCCCCTCCGCTTGAGGTCTCAAAACAGTGTTCATCTCTGTCAACCGCACTGACCTCATCCCATTAGAAATACTTTCAGCCTTATTAGGAGAAACTTGCACAGGACAGGGAAGGGGGTCCGGATGTAAGATAAGCTTGAATTTGCACCTTATAATTACAATGCCCATACCACCATAAGCGGTTTGCCAGATCCCAGGTCCGACTAGTGTAATAGTAAAGAGGAGGACTGGTTGGTTGGTTGTTTGACTTCCTGGACTTCCAAACTAGTGTATTGCACTCAAAATGACAACCAACAAAGTACTGATATTTTGTATTTACCATTTTGTGTTGTTTTCTCATTTCGTTGCACCCCCACTGTTATGCAGTCATACGCAACTTTATCTAGGTGGCCTGCAATACACCCGTTTTATAAGTAACTTATAAACCGAACCCTGTCTTCTCAAGAACAGTTTTTTGTGCTAAAAATTTGGAAGTCCGGAATAAAGGACTTCGACACTACAGAGATTTTCTTGTAAATTTCATAAAATGTGCGGTAGGTCACCTGCAAAAAACCAACCTAGGTGAGAGAAGCTACGAATCACAGTTTACACGACAGCATAACACAGGCAGGCGTAAGGAAGGACAGGACGATGCATACCGCAACTGTTTTTCTTCCTCATCTCGGTCAATATCGGGAAGGAAACTTGTGTCAACATCGGGATTCTTGCCAAGCCGACGGCGCTTTTTTGGAGCTTCTGCTCCAGAGCTGTCGTCATTATCTGGGGGTTGGTTCGAGGACGACTCGGAGGTAGGCTGAATAGGAAAAATCGCTCATTTAAAGGTTTCGCTTACTTGCGCAGTGGCCTCCTCTGTGGAAAGCGGGGAATTTGAGGTCTTCTCAGGGCTGACAGCCCTCGCAGGATCATCAGTAGCAGCATGGGCAGCGGTGTCGTCATCATCATCTTCCTCAAGTTCGTCTTCATCAGGGCAAAACGATACTGGGCCCTATATTATAGCTAAAAGTAGATTCAGCATCAGACGTCACAAACTTTGTGGAGGACGCCTTGGCGACCCAACAGACTGCGACCGTCACGAGACTTGGCACCGCCAGCCTTTCCAAGAGCCAGTTCCTTCTCCCGTTGCGTAATGAAGGCCTGCTGACGAGCCTTCATCTCATCCAAAGTAACCAAACCAACCTAAATTTATAACCTGAGATTAAAGGTCTCCCCTAAGCTAACTTACAGTGTCGGTTTTCAACTGGCTTTCGATAGCATCGTAATGAACTGCAAACTTGCTTGAGAACTCCCCCACACGAAGTTCAGATTCAAGTTTCTTCTTCTGAAACTCAATTTCCTGTCGCTCCTTTTCGCGCTGTTTCATGAGCTGTGCAGCTCTCTGTGATTCTTTCACATTTCCTTTGTAGGTTGCCATCACGGCCTTTTTGCTACATATTAAAAGGGATGTTAGAGGTGCAATTATGACGACCTTAGGCAAATTATGAGCCACTACGAACGAAAAATATGCTTAAGGAGGACGGGAGAACTGGAGCGGCAACCATGAAAGAGGTATATAAACTCCTCCCCCCCCCCTCCTTGACGGCCACGGCAAAACAAAATGTTATTCCAAAATATTTAAGGCAATTATTGCGCGTGTTACATTGCAGTCGCTCACCGGAAGTCTACAGACCTCAAATATTGTTACAAGAAATTCTGGACTACAAAATTTTGGTTTCCGTACTAGGAAAACTAGATGAGGATGAGTCCATTTCTACTAACAAAAAATGTCCAAAAAACGACTGGTAGGAAAACAAGCGTCACTTCGAAATTTGTAAGCCCCATCTGAAGCTTTAGTTTGTGGCTTTCGAAAAATATAGTCATCTAAATTGCTTTTACGCACTTCTAAAAGACCAGCATCAGGGTCAGACGCGCAAATGCACACATTCCAGACTAAATCTAAACTTGGGCAACGAGTATATTATATCCAGGTCTCGGTCTGCCAATACGAGCTCTGCGGTACAACAGTCACATACATTACGAGTGACTTCCAATCATAGTCAACAACTGGCCTCGCTCTCTAGTTATACAGCTGTCAGATTTAGTGCAGCAATATTGAATTTATTGGGTTGGAGACAAAGGGTGCGCCTAAATCACCTCATCCTCTTTCTTGGATGGCCTGAGATATCGCAACGAGTCAGAACTGTCTCATTTGAGGGAAAGTCAATACACCTCACTCGAACGGTTTTCAAGTAGCAGTGGATGAAAACCTCAATTTTTTGCCCATCTTCCAGCGCACAGTCTAGCACTAATAAACATACAGAAGGACTGACTAGGTAGATGTCTAATATAGGTCACGATTAAAAGTCTAGAGCCGAACAAATCAAGCGTGATAACTAATCGTATTTCACCGCCAGTTTGTAAATCCATCATTATGTGCTCCGGTTATGACGAAACTGTCTAACTGCTAGGAGACCTCTGTTCAAAACCGAAAAACGTAATATTTGTTTGCAATATGGCGACATGCAGACCCAAGGTTGAAGAAACCCTCGACTAATTCGCCCAAAATACGGAGGCTTTTGGCGAAAGACCGCGATGTCAGAGCTGTGATGACAAGATAAAATCGTGATGCTGCCATCAGAGACGAACTGATCAACAGCATTTCATCAAATCAGATTTGGCAGACATTCTTAGAGAGGGGAACGTCAAAATTCCACGCTGCCTTCGATCACACCAGGTCAGTGGAATTAGAAGAACGGTTTCTGTCCAGTCAGAACTCTCAAACGGCATCAATCTCTGTCGCTACTAGAGTGTGCCAACGTCCATCTAGTCCAGTTAAAGCGAATGGAATAGTAGCTTCCATTTTCGTTGCAGGTTTGGTTTTTGAAAGATCCTCTCTTTTATACACTCATCCACTACCACCATCGCCTCGACTGGTGATCCTGACTACCTTTTAGTTGCTTTAGTTGAGTGAGAGCAGCGGGGATCTTCTTCTGGCCGTGATAGACACAGGGAGTTCTAGGAGTTATATCTCGGCCTCTGTAGCGCTCCGAAATAACAGAAAAATTCATAGCTCACTAAAATATGTACTACAACGACCCCTCTATCCAGTGACGCGCAAGGATATCTCCTCAGAGATAAAGATGCCGTTTGCGAGAAGATCCAGCTATCAAGTTTAACGAATCTGTGCGCTAATGTTCCGCCACGTCATGACGTGCTTTGGTGGATCTAAACCTATGTTCTCACCACGTTCAGCGGCCTGCTCGTCGTTTTCTTTCCGCGAGTCATCAAACATTCCTCATCCCTCTGGCAAACAAAGTCTGACTAACTATTGGGCTTTGTGTGTGGAAGATGGGCGAAGACTGGAGGTATTTGACCACCACTGCCTGAGGATCATCCTTCGAGTAAAGTACATCGACTTCGTCTCAAATTAGACGATTCACACTCACTGTAACAACATTGCAAGGATATCTCAGCATTCAAAAAGGACGACTGAGGTGGTTTGGGTACGTCCGCCATTGTACGCCTCAAGAGCTCAGTTATAATGCTCTCGATCGGGCGCCGTTGCTCACCTGAAGACGTTGAAAAGGTCAAACAAGGACCTGGCTAGACACGATTCGTCAACGAATGGAAATGTTTCTTGGAACTTCGGTATTCGGTTTCTCTCGCTGGGCAAGAGGATGGGTCAAGCTGTCCAGATCCGCTACCGCAAACCGTCACGCAAGGAGAGGTACAGTACGTGATATCATCGACAGCGGCATAATCACAGCCGCACTACGTACAAGTATAATCACAAAATGCGAGTGACTGCTGATTAAAGTCAAACGACCGGCAAAAGGGCATTCCTTGATGGCCATCCCTTTACCAGGACAGTCGAAATGATTGAAAGTACTGAGGCCTACGACACGTATAACGCACTCGACTTCAAGAGTACCCATCATCAGGTGCATATCCGAGCAGAGGAAAGACCTTTGCGGTCTGAGGACGTTTGCATAGATTTCGTTGAATTCCAGTCGGTGTGGGCAAAGGAGTTGTATGTTTCCAACGAACTATCAATAAAATTGTTACTTGCGAGCACTTGATGGACATTTCTGTCCACGCAGGCAATACCGTCAATTGTGAGGGACGCACCACAAAGAATGAATTAGACCAAAAATTCTTCAACGTGGCCAGAGAATGCGGACTGACTTTGTGTGAAGCGAACATTGTCGTCGTTTTTAGGTAAATCGAGCCTCTTGGTTACAAGTTGTCAAGGAGCAGTATAAAACCAGACATGGATCGTCTAAGACCCTTGTATGAAATGGTTCGTCAGTATGATCCAGGATCACAACAAGGGACCGTGGGACTGTTTACAATTCACAATGGATACCTCACTTCTCAGATAAAAAACATCAGCTCGTTTATGGTAAAGTTTGTCCTCTAACATCGGATGAAGAAAGGACTTTCGAAGCTCTTATGGAAGAACCGTCGAAAGCCACAATCGCTACCGTTCAGTATAATACCTCAATGGATGTCGAAATAAATACTGTAGGCATCGCGATTGCAGTCACACCGAATCGGAATGGTCGACCAGTAGGGTTCGTTTAGCGTAATGAAACTCCACATGAGTAGCATTATCCTGCTATCGAAGAAGCGTAAGCAGTAGCAGAATCCTTGCGCAATGGAAACACTTTCTATTCAGTAATCATTTCGAACTCGTTGCAGATCAGAATTAGGTCGACTTTTTCAACAGTAATCAACAAAAGGGGGAAGTAAAGGACGACAGGGCAGAACGTCTGGGCTGTCGTCATTCGAATTTGGCATTGTTAAGCGACCTGGTAAAGAAGACTCAGCGGCGGAGATTTTGTCGAAGCTGACTTGAGGTCTGACTGACTAATGCCGATCTGAAAAGACTACAGCAGGCGTCGTAATTCATGAGGCATCAACCGAAATTCTGAAATGCGACTTCGGCTATAATGAACTACTTACATGAGGTTTTAATAGTGATTGTAGTTTTGCCAGAATGCCGATTTCTGACTGAGCGTCATTCCAGCCGTACCGAAAACTGCACTAGCTAAAAAATGACTACTTGCGTAGTGTGAATGTGTTTGATTTATTTTCTGCCCACAAATCCAAACGCACTTTATAGACAGCCTGAACAAGGCACCCCTTCTTATGCTCATTCTGCAGTAAACTACGCCTCCTTCAGATTTTCTGCTTGATGAATGGCCATCTTTCGGTTTTAAAGAGTTTGTAATTAGACCGCCTAAGACCGTGAAGTGCATATCCAAGCGGTATCGTAGCTGTCCGTTGATTATTACTCTCTTTGAAGTATTGGACATGGTCCATGTCTCTCGAAAAGAGTTAGGAGCGCTATGTGATGCATTCTTTACAGCACAGAGGAACATAGGACCTTGGATGGTAACTGCACAACTTGCAGTTTGGAAACCCTAGGAACATGGTAAGAGCCGGTCGAGTTTGAAACTATGCCGGAGTTGAGGGACCTAAGAACTGAATGATGTCTTATCTTCGAATAGAAAATCTGAGGATTGAAATTGCTCTGAAATAAGTAATAAGAAGGCGGCTATACGTGTTCACAATGTAACAATGTTCTCATTCTGACATACAGACAAGATTGCATGTTATGCATAATAAATAAGGCACATTGGGACAGGTGAGTTCCATAATGTGGTCGGTACGCGCCTCTACACCATCATAAACAGTTTTTTTCTTCCATCCATACTCTTACCTCCCAGCATTCGGATATAAGTTGATTCTTGTCTGGTCTCCCCCTTAGGACGCTTCTCTATGATTGCTTTTTCTGCAAGCTGTGACCTCGAGCTCGAAGTTTTTCGGTGGTCACATTATTTGGCAAACACTGGTATTTACGCTAGGGCCTCACCCTCACCGTTAGTCTCAACACATGTGAAGCTACCTTCTGGAGGGTTTCTCCAACTTTGCACCTCCCCTGGAACAGTTGACCAACTGACTCGTCGTTGGGGTGAGTACACGGAGCGCTCTAACTCCTACATAGTTCACCTCGCTTAAATGCTCCTATTCTCAAAGCTGAAAGTGCGTATTGTCAACTGATATTCGCTATGTAACCTCGGCTTCAAAGACAGACAGTCAAATTGATGATAAATTTGGCAAAACCAAAACATTTATCATCCTTTCTGAGTACAAGCTGCCATTTAAGACAAATATACCAGTTTCCTGCTTCCAATGTCATGTATACATAATATAAACGACAAGTACATCATAGGTGACGTCTAAAAAGATCCCGGAAGCTGTCTTAAACAGGGCTATGATGCACTGAAGATGGAGAAAATGTGGGCAGTTGCAGCCTCAAATATACGGTGTTAGTCTATACGGTCCAATCTTTCTCCTAAATGTCAACGCCAGACGCAGGAGAAGTAAAGTTCGATAAGGTGTGTTGCGATGCGCGTAAGGATGATAAGC